GGCCTCAGAAGCGCAAATATTTGAAGACATGATCACTCTAGGCCACGCTGAGCCCCTCCGGTTGATGTCCGCAATCAAGACCGCACGATTTCCACGACCATGGAGGACACTTATGGCCACACTAAACAAGTGCTGCACATCTAAGCACAGCGGCTTCGACAAATGCATAGGATGGAGGGAGTATCTTATTTGCATATTTGTTAACCCATTTTAAAGATAAATACACACACACATATAGCACTAAAAGAAGTAAGCTAGATAATATCGTGACATCGTGTATTATTCGTGTTTGATAAAAGTTAATTCATTTTTAATAATTCTTTAATTTGAATAAGAAAAGTAAAAATATAAGTAAACATATTATGATCATGTATGTCGTTACAAATTTCTCATCAATTAGAATACAATTATTTATATACAGAGTATATCACACTTAAATATGCATATGTGTTCTATTTACTCATTTTCTCACTTTTAACACTCATATAACATTTATGACAAGTATTTTTATTTATTACGTATTATTATGATGATATAATATTTATTAATTCATTAGTCATGACTAATACACAGTTACACACATATACATGTATATATGTCTATATGTATATGCATGTGTTTGTTATATACCTCGTTCTACATACTCTATAATTTACTTATATAAGGTTATACATTATTTATATGTGTATGTTTGTATATATATGTATGTTTGAGTTTATATATATAAAGGGGGCGGGGCGGGGCGGGTGTAGCAATCCCCGCCCTCGCCCCATATTTTAACGTGATATAAATATCCCACCCATCCCCGTCCCCACCCCGCCCCAAACCCCACCCCATCCTCACCCCATGGGGCGGTTCCCCACGGGCCCCCGCCCCCAATCCTTATACATAATAGATAAACGGGCCATATTATTGGACACAATAAATAGTTCCTAACAATTCCCATGTGTTCGATCAACATTGAAGCATGGTGATAACACCCATTTTATGCGTGTTGGGATTGGTTTTGATCAATTTCCATAGCTTAAATGAGTCGCGAAGGACCAATTTAACTCAAACTACGGTTCACCGGATTTTTGTTTGCATTTAGTATTTTTAGAATTGAATTGAAGAAAATTGAACCTAACACTAGCGTTTAAGGATTTAGAGACACTTTCAAAGTCAATTGAGGAGCAAAGAGGATCCACAACAGTTGAAGAAGATGAATTTGAGAAGAAATAGCTCAAAGATCAAGCACTGGACCAAACCTAGACTCTATAAGCAGAAAAGAGTTGAAAACAATTCATTTTTTCCAAAATACAATCCACTAGTTAAAAAAGTCATAAATAGAACTTTTTTATTTTTGATTGAACAAAAATAGCCTCATAAGGTTGAAGGACTACTGCCCCAGCGGCCCAACCGGACCACCGCTGCTCATTACCACAGATTTGACAGAATTTTGCCGCCGCTATCAGTATTTGCCGCCGAACCATCAACATTATCGGACTAACCCACCATCAACAGCTTGACCTCCATTATGCAACGAAATTAAGGAGCAGTTAGTTAAGTTAATTAATTTTTATTAATTAATAAATTATGTTAGTTACAAAATGAATTATCAGATCTATTTAGGGAAAAAAACAAATTATAGTTTCCTATTTTTGAAAAAATATTGCATCATCCATCATTTATAATTATGACAATGTTAACTGACACATAGAATAATAAAGCAGATTGTACGATTGATATTTGTGTAAGGGAGAGAGAATTAGTCACAATAAGAAATTCTTTATTTAAAATGAAAAGTGACATACTCCCTCCAACCCTTAAAAGTTTGACCGGCACAAGGATTAACGAGAAAAAAACTATGTGGTTGAGATTTGTGCAAAGAAGAGAGAATTAAATGGAGCTACAATTTTTTTACTTAAAAAAGAAAAGACAAAGTCAAAAGAACTAAGGGGTTGTTTACTTTTTTTTCATTAAGTCATGTCTGTATTAAGATGTCTGTCTGGAATAAGTGACACTAGTATAACAAGCTGTTTACATTGTGTGCTAAATGTATCCTATGAATGATATTCAATTACCAATTTATCCTTGTGCCTGTAACAAGTGCTGATTCTGCTGAATATCTATCGTCTGTTTACTTTTACTATTCCACTTTTACTATTCCAGATGATATTGTTATTGCATATAATTTACAATAACATTAAATTAATGAGCAAACAAGTTCACGAAACCAAACAAAACAAATTCAAGAATATTCTGACAACATATTTAATTTATGCATTTCCTACTAATCTATTAGTCACTTCATCCCGTAAATTCGTCATATATTATATGGTTTGGATGCCCCATTGCATTCCTTCTATTTCTTCTCCGCTTGAATTTCACCTCATCCTCCTGGTTCATTGTTAAATATTGCCTCATTATCCATACCTAAATAATGACATAAGTATTACCAAAATAATTCAAGCTAAAAGGTCTGACTTTTGTTTCCAGTAGCACTACCCATACAATAAAATAAAGAAAACTAAAAGGAGTGTATTATGCAGATGTGCTGCACTCTTCACAGAGAGGGGTCTATAAGGCGGCCAGTTTGCAGGTGGTTTTGCTTGACGGGATTCTTGATGAGATTTTTGTTGCTAGTTTTGACTGAACTACTTTCAAAATGAAAGTAATTTCACTCACACATATATTACTCCGTATATAGCAAGCTGAATTACTAGTAGCCGATTCTCAAACAAAAAAAAAAACATCTTCCTCTTCCTATAATATAAATGTTTCTCCTGATTTTATACTTTCTGGTCAAATCCTCCACACAATTATTTAAAAATCATTTTAGGTTTATCCTAATTTATAGTCCTGTAATTCAAAACTATAAATTCAGTTAAAGTATTTTTAAGAATTATTTTTATGAAGAAAGTGGTCTTCATATTTCAATTGAATGTCAAGGAGTACTCCTTTATACTAAAAATCGTAGATATGAATGAAGCATACTTTCCAGAAAATCGAAATTAATGAAATTGAGCATATAAACGAACTCTTCAATTTAAAGAATTAGAAGAAAAATATAAATTTAGAGAGAATATCTAGATGAAGAAGACAAGGGATATGATTGGCCTTTGATAGCGGCTTTCGTTATACGTTGCTGAAGATGGAATAGATATAGAGAGAATACGTTGAAGAAGGCGGGCCATTTGCCACTGAAGACAAGTGAAGAAGCAAGCGGCCATGAAGGCTGGTTACAACGTTTACGCTAAGGAGAACTCAGGGCAAAAGGGAGAGTCTAATAAATTGAGTGCTGAGCCGCCTGAGCGAAACGTCTGTATGGTAAGGACAACTAAAAGAGTGCTGAGCGAATAAGTCAGGAAATGTCTGACCGAATAAGTCACAATTTTCATCAAGTCCTAAATAAACGAAACTATATACCTAAATGAATAAGTTATCATATCAATTAAGGTCATTAAGTTCAAAGTAAACAGGCCCTAAATGGGATCACAATTTTTTTACTTAAAAAGGAAAGGGCAAAGTTAATGTGACAACCCAAAAAGGAAAGTTAACAAAGTTTTAAGAGACAGATGAATAGTTAGAAAAGTTATAAGGGATGGAGGAAGTATATTTTAGTTTTTGTTTGAGCAATTTTTTCTTTTATAAGTAGCATAAATTTGACTATGTTTTTTATTCGCCATTCAAATAAAGAATCGGCTACTCGTCTTGTGAACAACCCAATTTACAAATCAGCTAACATAATATAGTTTTGTGATCGAAAAATTAGTCTCTACTAATAATTTATTTACTCCTAAAGAATAAGGAAAAGGTGTTGGCTTTACTAATGAATGATTAGCAGTTAGCACCATAAATAGAGGAAGCACACTACATGAAATATCAATCAACATTTTCCCCAAAAAATGTCAATAAATAAAAATATCAAACCAAACCTATACAATATAACCTCAGTAAGACAAACTGAGATTTGAACATATGGTATAATATTTTGACCTGAAAGATCTTTTTTTGACAATCCAAGCAACACCCTTCACCCTGACCTTAGATTTGTACTGGCAGAGCCTTCCCTACCACGTGTACAATTTTTTCTATTATGTTAAGACATAAAGCAATAACAGAATTACAAACCTCACCCCAGACCTCCACCCAAACAGGTTGTGGGTCATACTACCGCCGCCATTGTTTGTGTACTCAAAATAAATTCAATACTAACACTTATACGTAGCATAGGTGAAGTAGAGTTCGTATCCACAGGGAAAGAAATAACTTTCTTTTTATATAAATAGTAAGTAAAGGGGGGTTTTGATCGAGTGACTTGATTAAAATTAAGTACGAAGATGAACGAGTTATGTGGTTTATTTCAAAGATAAAAAGGACTTGGCATTGCTACTTTTCACTTGTTGATATATTTTAGTCGATCATTGTTATATCTATAACTTATCTCCTCTCGAATACTCAATCGAGGAGTATATCCAATTCATCGAGGGTAGTTATTAACAACGACCGTTCATTAATCATTAATAACCCTTACTATTAGTCAAGTATAGAACACCGTCATATACCGACTTGATAGTAGCATTTAATCTCTCAACTCCTTGATGAAATCAATTGAGATTGATAACCTCAACACAACGGTTTCGGTTTAACCAACAAAATTAGTCCCTCTTAAGTTTATTAACCACGACCGTGCATTAATAAACCGAAGTTACTTACTTGTGAAACCATCAACGATTAACCATCGGTTCATTGATCGTTTCTAGTAGTAATTAATGCTGAGATGTTAACTAATTGTCATCGTATTAACACTCCCCAACATTAACATAGAAATAGATTAAGGGAAGAATTAATATTCAAGGAAGAAGATTAAATATGAATAATCCTACTATAACTAATGTCAAGATGTTATCTAATTGTCATCTTAGCAACACTCCCCAACATTAATATATAGAGGAAGAAAATAAATACTACCATAATTAATGTCGAGATGTTAACTAATTGTCATCTTAGCAACACTCCCCAACATTAATATATAGATAGATTAAGAGAATAATTAATATTCAAGGGAAGGAGATAAGAAAATAACTCACAACTTTAATAATCAACAAGCTTCAAGAGCAACACCAAGAAATGGAAGTTTAGCTCCTCATTTGGAGACTAAACATGCTATAAAAATATAAAAGAAATACTATTCTAAACTGAGCTTAAGAGTATGGAAGAAGGAGTTATACTTTGTGAAGGAAAATGGGGTTATTTATAGGTGTTTTCAATACCCTGGGGCATTGACCCGCCCGGGTAAAAGGACATACCCGACCGGGTCAACGTCAAAATCAAATATTTCCCACGTTCTGGCGATCTTCGGCATGTTCTGGTGTTCCGGGTCACATCTGACCCGACCGGGTCAAATAAGTGACCCACCCGGGTCTAGTGACTTTCTCAGCAGTTTCTGATTCTTTGTCATGCCCGACCGGGTGAAGTATTGTACCCGGTCGGGTTTTTGCTTCTGGGCAGCCAAATCTTATTTTTCTTCACTTCAAAGTCCTCCTTTTCAACACCCTAATTCCTAACTCTACTTTATACAACTTACAAATGAAGATTAAAATACAATTACAACTAAAATCACACAAATGTTTACAAACTAAATAAAACGATAAACAAACCACACAAATCAAACATAAAAACATACACTTATGTACTACTAATTAGTGCATATCAAGCAGCTTCCCTCCTCATCTCTGCAGTTTTTCCACTTCCCTAGAAATACATGTACACTTGCTGCTTTCACCATTTGTAAAACGCACAATGAGGCTTAGCAGTGATCAAATCATGCATTCATAAAAAATGAATCTGAATGACCAATATGCTCATCATTGATTCAGTACAAAAGAATCCAAATCCAACGAAGTAAATGATCTGCACTGAAAAAGACGAACAATAAACAGGCAGAAAACATGTTTTACTTAAAAAGAAAAACTGCAAACCAAACAATACTAACTTCCGGCAACATAGTGCAAAACCACTGCAGATTGCACCTACCCCAACCAAAACATTTTCATATAAGAGTTCAATTGCTGGCAAGAATGCAATGCAAACAATACAATCAAAATGAACAACTTAGACGCTGAGGATGTTTTTGTTGGACTTACTTTAGTCCTAGACCAGAACAAATCAGACCAGACCAGACAAGATTTAAACGGACCAGACTAGAACAGACTTCTACAGTTATAAAATACACATGGACCAGACATTTATCGGACCAGATCAGACCAGACTTAAACAAACCAAACCAGACCAGGAAATTTCAGTCCATTCAGAAACAACCTAAATTTACATATTTAAAAAAAACTCATAATTAAGGATCCGTTTGGAGCCCCTGAAATTACTAGGAAAATAAAATAAAAAGGAAAGAAAAAAGACAACCAAATCCCGGGAAAAAAATTTATTCCAGAAATTTGTTGATCCTTGTTTTATTTATTAATATCGATTATATTAAAAGTAATAAATCTAAATATATTATTATGTGTAAGATTTTATGAAAAGAGACCATATTTCATTTCCCAAGGAAAGACAAAACACGTGAAAATAATTTCCATCGAATCCCCCCAATTCCCTAGCTTTTCCGAAGATCCAAACATACCCTAAAGCATGTGAGAAGATTGTAAACTCATTCTGACAATGAGAGAAGCACACTATGAGTTTTACATTCTTGAGAATTACATGGCTTGCAAAGAGTGGCCTACTGAGTTCGAGAATGAAGAGGCAACTTATGTCAAAGATTTGCCATTGAAAAAGATGGGAGGTGCCACCACAGCAACAACACAAAACCCAATGTGAAACTTCAACACGAATAACAGTAATAAAAAAGTACTACGCAATAAATATCAATGCATGAAACAGTGAGAGCGCCTTAAACAGAAAGCTGAAAGCAAGCACTAACCATATAAAACTCAAAAATTCAGCTGATTTTCATTGCACCAACAGTCCTGCAAGGAGTATAGTTGAAAACAATACATTAGATAACTGAAAATAGTTTTAAATATTTAATAACAAATTTTTTAGCAGGAGAAGAGAGGGAAAGGATAAAGTTTAGCAAACCTCATTGCACAAATATAGAGGACGATACCATAAGACATAGGCTCCAGGGACACCTGATATGAAATAGATGATAGCAAGAAACCAGATTGTTGGGCCTGCGAGAAACATAAGTTAACTAATCTTAATGAAGGGTTGAATATAAAATTGGAACCAGCTATGGTAACAGGTACAATGTTCCAACCAAGACAGACAACAAGACCTGCAAGTCGCAAAAGCAAAAAGTGATTGCACCAGTGTGGTGCATTCATATTTCTATTCAGATCAACTCTTCCAATAAGAAAAACTCTAACAGCAACTAAAGCTTTATAAAACCTTAACAGCAACTCTTGCAAGAAACGCAATATTTTAATAACAACCCTATTTATAGTCTTCACATATATGATTGAAAGTAAAACAAACAGCAAATCATGGTAGCAAGATGTTGCAAAGACAGTTGAAAGAGTCCTGGTCCTGATTTTCTAATTCTTTCCAGAAGGAAAAAAAAAGTTCACTAACCCAAACCATCTTCTTATTAGACGGTTAAACAGTCAAGGATGAGTAATTGTGATTTGTGAGCATCAGGGGCGGCTTGAGCATATCGGAGGCCCTAGGCAGAAAAATATTTACTATGCACAAATCATATTGAAAATGTGATAATTTGATTAAAAAACACAATATGAAAAAAAGATTATGCAAAGTGCTAGATATAATGATATTATTGTTCAAAATGATAAGCTTTCAAATGCAAACATATACTCAAAACCAATTAATAAAGAGTAGTATAATTTACACTATTGGCATCAAAACCTACATATTTATATATAATACAATTTTTTTAACAAGCCAGTTATACTGGTATCAGTCTTAAGAGAGTTGTTTTGGATGACACATACAATTACAAGGAGAGAAGAAACTTTTTATTTATAACAGAAAATATAAGCACCTATAGACCATGAATTAACTATGAGCCACACAATTTTAATCATGAAAACATAATTACAATTTCCTAATTATTTTGGTAAAGATGATAATGACTACAAATCACATTTAATTAGAAGATAACAATCCATCATTTCTCAACAAATGATACTAATATTAATATTATTCTTAATACGGAGTATTAGTCAACTATGATATGATGATGATGATACATATACGGAATAGTAATTTTAATACAATCTCGCCGTCTATTTACTTGATGTTTTTATATCAAGTTATTACAATTTTTCATGCTTAGTTGAGTTAGTTCTACTATACCACGCATATGTCCGGTTTGAAATCTCAAAGGAGGCATATACGGTCATACGGATATGGGTGCTTATCTGTAATTACATTTCCCTCACCGGTTGGAAAGAACAATTTGTCCTCCGCATAGACTTATAAAAAGGAGTTATACGTAAGCATTCAAGAGCTGCCAGCTATTGTTGTGCCTTTCCAGTGAGTGGGCCCTTAGAAGGCTTACGTTTGGACTGTACTAAATAATACGGAGCACTAATTTTTTTTAGGCCCTATCCGCAAATGAGGCCCAAGGCACCTGCCTGGGTCAACTGGCCCCAAAGCCCGCTCTGGTGAGCATTGTCATAAAATGAACACACTATCATATAGTTCACGTACAAAGAAGCACTCTTTATTTCTTTATAGCTGAATTTGAAAGAAATTTCTTGAATTGGGTTGAACATAATGCCATTTCACTTTCAGCTTTTTGTACACTTTTTCCCTTTGCTTGAATTGTAGTTTATTTTCCCAAGATACATTACACTAGACATTTCTCTGATCACATCAAGATTCAAACAACTACAAGAAGTAAAAAAAAGCATGCAATGATGACCTAATAAAACTGGTATCACCTAAAGAGATGTACGCATAAGAAAAGTATTTAGCAGAAACATCAAGTATTTACAGGGAGCCCAGGGCAGGAGGGAGAGTTGTGTTCGAATTTCTTGCAAAATCTGTCCATCTATCTCCAAACTCCAAAGTGTTAGAGATTGGATGTGGGACCCTTCGTGTTGGGATGCATTTTATCCAGTACTTAAATCCAAAAGTACAACTGTATGGAAACAGATGAGCTGTCCTTAATGGCTGCATTGAGGTATGAGCTTCCATCCCAAGGGTTATTATCCAAGCGTCCTCTCATTTAGTAAGTCTGGATCTGGAACAATGTAAGTGCTGTATTCCTGCATATTCCAGACAAGCTTGTTTGGGTTGGGTTAGAGAGACTTGCTAGTACATTTGGGAGTTCGTATATTTGTGTCCCACAATATAAAGTTCTGTTCGAGACTAAGAGGAGACAAATGTACAAGAAGGTTAGGTAATATTGGCCTTGAGTATCTTAGGAAGACACTCATGATAGTTTACTTTTCAACCATTACGAGATTTGGTTTGAGTTTAGGAGGTTCAAGGAATAACAAGAGCTTGCTTTGAGTTCAGGTTTCATTTACTCTTCTCAGAAGGAGGCTTGTTTCATTTTATGGAAGTTACTGAACTAGTTCCGTCCGACTACACTAACTTTTCACAGTTGTACCTTGGCAAAATTAAAAGTTATATTTTGACCAAATAGAACTCTTTTGGGACAGAGTCGTAGATATTCAGATGGAGAGTGATAAATCATAATCTTGAAGGCAAATTGGAACAATGTGCTTATGACCGTGTTGTCTTAGTTCTTTTAATCGACCATTTATCCCCAGAAGCTGACCACTCGTGCACTGTTTTGCATAGTCCCAGAGGACATATTTTGATGGAGCAGTCTGGTCATCAATGTATAGTTAATCTGTAAGGTGCTGTTCTGAATTTGCGCTGGAGAGTACTGTGTTTGTATTCTGGATGGAGGGTTTTGGAGAACTTGAGGGGTGGGCAGGGTAAAACAGTTATATAGAGAATACTATCTTAGAAAAGATTTTTTGTAAGATCAGAGTTTTTTGTAAGATAAGCTATTTTAATCTTCATCCATTTCTTCTTGTCAAAAAAGAAAAAAGAACAATGCACATATGCTATGCAAACAGAAAAATAATGAAACTACACTTTGTTGATTTACCCAACAATGTCATGAATACCACATACTGCAACCTCTGTAGATGGATCGGAAATTCATTTGCAATATGATAGGGAATCCACCTGCTCAGATTATATCTAGCTACAGAAAGATGAAATCGGATGATGAATAGTGAAATGGAGGTCGTATAACAAACAAGGGAGAGAAACAGTCTGGCAGTTTTAAGAGATGCCTCTCTCCAAGTCCCAGCCCACAATTAGCCAAATCCAACCTACTTTTCTACTCCCAGCTCACCTTATTTATTCTTTTTCTAATGGGCTTCCCTCAATCTATCTAATTAATTGGCCCAGCCCACTATTACATTTTACTAACATAATAAGCCCATAAGTCCGGGTCTCTATCACAATATCATGGTAACAATGTCATGAATGCCACATACAGCTCATCTGTGTCCCAGCTGCTCAAAGACAAAGCATAGAATATGTAAGATTGTTATGGGACAGATGAGAGCTTAACTAAAACAATCTGATTCTATGCAAGAGTGAGCAGATAATACATAGACCTACCTCATTTTATGGCATCTTCCTTCCTTTTTAGATCCTAAACAGAACACCGAAAATATATGCTTTAAAAAATATTCAAAAGCATAGGAATTTAGTTTATAAGATGAACCCTATTTAATGGTTGGGAAAAAAACTGAAATTGAACAATGCACTTATGCTAGAATGCAAGATGCATGATTTAAAGACGAGGCAAATCGATTTAATAACAAAGCCCAAAAATATAGCTTTCCATGAACATGAATAGTGGGGTTACTGAGATGGAACCAACCATAGAGAACTGGTAAAGTCAAGAAACTGAAAAGATCAAATTTGATTGCACATAGTAGTTCATCACCTCATATTTTTTATCACAGAAGAAGTCCAAGTCTGTAGCCTTCGGTCGGCTCCGCACAATCCAATCCCTCTCCCTTCTCCGGCTAATGAATCTGACTTGGACAGAGCCTCCACACTGCCCAAGGCCCAAGCAAGGAGGGTACATGCTCATACTCTATCACAAACTCCATATTTTTCGACTCCCCCCTTCTCAACCCCTGTAGCATCTCTATCTGCTCCTCCCCGACTTGCAATCTCCAGTCCCATAAGGATAACATCATAATCCTAGACAAATCCCAAATCAAGCTGAATAGTCTCTTGGTGGCAGTAACGCATACTAAATGAAGAGTCCCTTAGATGCTTTCTTTGACAATACTCTTATCCTTGACTTCAAAGTTTGAACATTGCAAGCTTCAATGAATTTATTTTCTTCACATAATATGCACAACAACCAGTTAAGACTGCCTCTGTAAGGGGTATATTCACAGGAAACCATATCTTCAAGTATTTTCAGAGCATGGACTGTCCATTTATTTGCACAAAAAAGTTGGAGTAGATTTTCATAAGAAGCCTTTGATAGAGAATGCCCTTTCTTAAGCATAATATTTGATACAGATAATGCATCATGGGGTCTTCCAGCCTTACAAAAGCCCTTTATCAACATGTTGTATACCACATCATCAAGAACACAGTCATGCTCATTCATTTTATTGAAAAGATTAACAGCAAGATCGGTTTTACCTTTCCTAAAATGCCCATCAATGAGAATGGTAAGAGTCACGTGATTGGGAAGCAGCCCTTCTTTCTGCATCGTATCAAGATGATTGTATGCACCTTCAATATCATTTGCCCAACATAATCCAGCAATCACACTATTGTGCAGATATAAGTTGGGAATAAAGTTGCCTTTTTTCACTTCGTCTATCAATTTTAGTGCAAACGACTTTATTCCAACCCTTGAAATGATAAAGTTTTCTAAATCTTTCAGGCCGGGCAAATTATTATACTCACATAGTAAATGGTAAAGCATCTCCATTGCCTTAACGGATTGTCTTTGTGACTTGTGACATTTCCTACTAATGTATCGGATATTTCTGCAAACGCCACTGACCAATGCAACATGGGTTATCAAATCTTTCTCTATGTGGCTTTTCTCCATCAGAACAACTAACTTAAGAGCAATTTTAATTTCTCCCTTTCTAAAAAATTGGTAGATTAGAGAAGTATACAAAGCAGCATTAGGCATAAATCCCTCTTCTAACATTCTACCAAGATATATGTGCCCCTCTTGTATCATGTTTTGCTTAACAAGCCCATTTATTAGTGCAGTGTAAGCTCGGTAGCTTGGTCGAATACCATACTTCAACATTTTGTCAAAGACCTCACGAGCTGCACCTGCTTGTCTGTTCTTTGATAGACCACTAATCATTGTCACAAACAGAGTTTCATCAGGGAAAAGTCCAACCTCATGCATTCTGTCAAACAACTGTGATGCCTCCAAAACTCTCTTTTCTTGAGCCAAACACCCTATAATAGAATCATACATAGCAATAGTGGGCTTCACTCTAGTAGCTTCCAGCTGATCCAGAATGGAAATAGCATCATTTCCTAGTCCCATTTGGCAGAGACACCAAATCATGGAGTTATAAGCAAGGAGAGAAGGCTGAAGGGATAGAGTTGACATTTTATCCATGCATAACTCAGCAGCAATAAGTTTCCCTGCATAACACAGTGCAATTATGTGTATATTAAAAGCAATACGAGCTAAGCCTGAGTTTCGTGAATAAATTTCCTCTAGGAGAAGATCAATCTCAACTATGAAGTCATCAACAGATTTACTACTGCTACTACTACAAGTGGTGCTACAAATGCCACACCCATGTCTTCCAATTTCTGTCACAAAATTATGTGCAAGATCAATTTCATGCCCTACATAGTTTTTTACTACAGTAAAAAAGAGGACATCATCAGGAAAAAGTCCAGAATCAAACAGCTGGTTATAATATTGATCAGCTTCCGCTAACCGATTTTCCTTAACCAGTGCAGCAAGTAAAGGCGTGTAACAGTGCACCGTGGGTGCTAAGTTGCACTGCATCATATTATGTAACAATGTTAATGCACAATCAACTTTAAGATCCTTGCAACACTTGCTAATCATGATTTGGTAACTGACAACGTTGAGCTTCAATCCCAGCTCTTTCATGTGGTGAAACAACACGAAAATTTTATCGATCATGCCTGTGTTAACAAAACCATGTATCAATGTATTGCATGTGTAATTATCTGGATGACATCCTAGTTTCAGCATTCTGTAAAACAATCTGAGAGCCATCTTCATTCTTCTTTTCCGGCAATACCCATTGATAAGAGCTGTGTACATGACTTTATCAATAAAGAAGCCAAAAGATTCGGCTTCCATACTCAAAAATTCAGCCTCCTCAACCCGCTCATTCTGGCAAAGCATAAAAACTAATGTTTTGAGTAAATGAATAGTGGGAGGTACGCTTTTATCACGCATTATGTCATACACGTATAGTGCCTTGTTTAAGTTCCCTATTGAGCTCAACCCGTCCACCAACCTATTGTAGCACCGGAAATGCAGTAAAAAATCAGCATCATGGACAGCTAGAAACACATCAAATCCCTCCAAGAATCTGTTTTGGGCACAAAATGCAGTAATAATGTCACTGCAGGCGGCTCGACAAGGCATGACTTCCATCTTAAGAAGTCTATCGAATTGAGACTTGGATTCTTCCAACTTACCTAACTTAGAATAGCAAACAACCATCGAGTTCAATAAAAAATGGTCTGGCTCGATTCCTCTGTTCAATATGAAGTCGACATAAACGGCCTCTGCCATCTTTGCCTCGCCACAAGTCAATAGTTTTCTGATAAGAAAACCATAACTCTTCATGTCAAGCTCCACTCCCCAAGAAAGGGCAAAATCAACTGCAGAAACGGCTTCAGGGACTGATGATGAATGTCTCACAATCTTCTGAACGAGCTTCTCAGCTGGATTGATTAATCCGCGTCTAATTAGCTGCTCTAATTCTGAAAAGCATGTGGCTTTTATTTCATGTGTGAATGCTTGAGTAGTAGCAGCAGATATGGGCGGATATTCTATGGGTAAAGGGGAAGTGGAGAAGGGTACTTTGCGGGAAAAGAACAGCAAGGGCTGGAGTGACCTGTGAGGCAAAGACCTGTACTTGGCCATCCTCAGGAGCCTTGCTGAAATTACTAAAAGACCTGTAAAAGGCTGGGATGTCATTCAAGTATTTTATAAAAACCTTATTTTTATGTAGCACAGTAGTAGCAAAGTGTTAATCGGTGCAAAAATATACCATGGAAAAACAGAATTGAAATATCTTAAACACCAAGCTAAAAATGATAGTATTACAATATTAATAACATCAAATAGAAATGAATCAGAACTTTTAAGGATTCATCTGTAATATTCCTATATAAAAATTGGAACAATTAACACACAAACACATACAAACATGTTTGAGATAGCACCGGCTTTCTCATGTGGAGTAGTCAAGAATTCAAATAAGCTATATAACGAGGCCTGTTGCAGCATGCAATATGCCCTTCATTTTCATTAAAATGGTATAGCTTAGTATGGAAGAAAGGAGGAACGAAGTTATGAACATGAACAGATATAGGCTTTAAATGTGTATAAAAATGAAAATGAAATTTTATAAATTCAAAACCTGAAAGATGGCTTATTATCAATAAGGGACCTTTGTTTTTCATTTATCAATAAGGGACCTGAAAGATAAAATGTGTCGGTATAATACCCGAGTGATTGGAAACTACGAATCTACGACCTGAAATAACATGAACTTTAATATTTTTTATTTTAAAATATTTTAATACTACCTCCGTCCCATATTGTTTGTCCTGTTTTAATTTGGCACGATTATTAATAAAGTGGTTGAAAAGTAAAAGTTGTGGTTGAGATTTGAGTAGAATAAAGTGACATGATAAGGACCACATATGTCTTGCCAAAAAAGGAAACAGGACATTCATTTTGGGACAACCCAAAAAGGAAGTAGGACAACCAAAATGGGGAGGGAGTATTATTTAATCTTATAAAACTAATTCTAATGCATTAAAAATGGGGCCTTCATTTCCAATATAGAACATAAATAAAGATGATAATAAACATAAATTACTGATAATTTGTGTTAAAATACAAGTTACTAATGAATATAATAGTTAAAACTTAAAAGAAAAATATTCATTAATAAAATACAGTTCACTTAAAAAAGAGGCATTCTTTGACCTATTTAAAGACATTCTTCGAGTGTGTGATATATAATCAATTTAATTACCTAATCTTTATGTAATTAACTCAATTAAGTGAGCTCCCGCCTACTTTTAGGGTATTTTCATAAATTTCTTACGAATTGCTTATCCCTTCATCAGCTCTTGCATTTCCTTCTTCAGAAGTTCCTGCTCTCTCAAAGCCTCCTCCTCCAACACGGCTCTCAAAGCCTCCTTCTACATGTGTAATGAATGATGAAAGGTGGTGACCAGTTTGAAGTTTTTGAGTCTGTAGAACTTTTGTATAACAACTTAACAAGGTAAGGTTCTTTTTTAATTTGGGTCTTAGTTTAAATTTTATCATCTCTATTTACTATGTTGTAAGTTGTTTTCAATTTTCTCTATCTCCAGACGTGTATGCATTGCTTAGCTGTCGTAAAAAATGAAACCACCAACATCATTGGACATAAGTACTGGTATTTGTTATCTGTTTTTGCTGATTTGTTTTCACTTCAAAATAAAATACGTAATAATAAACAAAAACAGTGGGTATTTATTATTGACTATTTTTGTTTAGCTCCTGTTAAGATAAAACATAATTTTGGAAATTGTTGGATAAGTGAAATGATATTCTCATTATATTTGGAAGCCTGCATCTGATTTCGACACAACTAATTAAATAGTTTTCTCTGGGAATGGGCTGTTTGACTCAGCTGCTAGAAGTTTTTTTACTTCATGTGATCTCTCTATAGTTTCTTTATCTTTAATTTTCCTTTGAACTTAATTCCTTTGGCTGTCGTCCTTGCATGCCTTATCCCAACCCAAATGGGACCATTCCTCTCCAGTGGGTATTTGAATGTAGTGAATCCTCTTTTCCTTCTTTTTTATTTCTGCTTTTGTGAATTTTTTTCACAAGTTTACCCAAACTATTGTTATATATAGGTATTTTGGTGGTGAACTTAAATGCAATTTGTCTTTTGAAGTTTTTTCTCTCTTCTTGTGTTATGAGTCTTATAACTACTGAGTACAGACTCCCAAACTATTTTCATATATAGGTATTTTGGTTCCACACAAAAAAATGTCCAACCAAAAACATAAAAAGAAATGCATTCCCCATCTCATGTCTTTCTCTTGGAAAAGAGTGCTATTGCATGTACTGTTTTTGTTTGGAATACTAGACAAATGACCCGTGCGATGCACGGGATATATTCAAAAAAAGAAAGCAGCAGGCTGCTGGTATGCAGGCTGGTATATTAGTTATGCACTTTCATACTTGAAGAAAATTATAACCAAGTCACAGAGTCATTACACCATACTTCAAGAAAATAACAATGAAAGAGAAAATAACTAAAAGATTAAAGGTTGCCTGAAAAGGGTGCAAATTCACAAAATAGAGAAAATATATTATTTGTCGCAAATTGAACAAATTGGAATTGGACAATTACACCGGTCTACTACAAACTATGCACTTGTGTAAGAAAAAGCTCTAAGATTGCATGTGGCAAATGGCAATATATGAGGTTACCTAAACCTCTTTAATTATTTTGAAACTGGAATGCTTATGTATGTTAGTCTAGATGTTTAAACAAAGGTGCACTTTTTTTGTCTTTTTAGGCTATGATTTGAGAACACTAAGATTACAAGTAGTGAATAGATACAATTTTTAGTGAAGTACATACTGCAATCTTTTAGATTTAGAAATTTCCCTGAATAGGAGTAAAAACGTTTTGAAATTCCAAAATAAGAACTTCAGTTTTTATTCCCTATATGGGAGTAATTTTTGCTAAGCTTGGAAAAAACTTGGCAGAAACTGTCATGTACTCATGTTTAAAGCTTGATAATGCCAAACTTGACAGAAATTACTCCTATTCAGAAAATAAAAACATGGCAGTCTTATTTTAGAATTTCAACATTTTTTTCTCCTATTTAGGGGATTTTCCCTTTTAGATTCCTAGACATCTTGATTAATTCTCTAATGGCAATAAAAGATGCGAACAAAAAGTTTAGTTTAAGGAATGAAAATAAAGATGTATACCTGTACAGACTTTACTTTCTATTCAGGCTTAATTAAAAAAGTGGAGCACCTTCCCTTAATAAAACGCAGTTTTAGATTATGCATGTAAAATGTTGAACATTGTGAATTTACAAGCAATTATTTTTTTTTTCTTTCTTTTTGGACTATGGCTTTAGAATACTAAGATTACAACGAGTGAAAAAATGCATTTTTATTTTAATTCATACTGCAACTTTTTTTCTTGCTTAGGCGCCTATTATCTACCGAAGAGGTAATGCTTTTGAATGCTGATGTACAAGTCAAGGAGCTGAAGAAATCCATTGATGCTTTGAAGGGAGAGAGTAAAAAATTGGAGAGTAACACAGTGCAAGCAGAGCAACGGGGAAAGACAAAATTGAGACAAGCTGAGAAGCAAATTGGAACTGTGATTCGCTCTGCTTATAAGATTGAAAGACAAGCTGCAGGTTTGGAAAATGTTTTTAAAGAGCTTCCACACAGAGAAGCTTCTTTGGTTAGATCACGGGTTTCCAAACTTGCTTCTTTGAAAGAAAGGAATTCTCTTACAAAGGAGGTTATGGAAATAAGTAATCATGGCATCTCGGTCTGATTCCACCCTTTCTGCCCCCATTCTTTCTACTATGATCCGTTGTAGGCCACATTTTTGGAAATTTGTTCCACGGCACTTCCACCAAATAAAAATAGAGTTTCTACAAGTTATAAATGTTTATATTCAGCCTGTGACGTCATTTTCCCTTCAGCTTGGATTGAATGAGATGGTCTATATACCAATAGTAAAAATACGAGAGGGAAGTGGTTTTAGGAAAATAAATATTTTCGTGATCAGCATTCTTGCTATTTGTTGTTTTTGCTTGAAGCTTTGGCCTTTTAGTTTGTTAAAAATGAACCACATTTCCTTTCCTTTCACTTCTACTTGAAAATTATCATTGTTTTAGATTTGAGAACTGTGATGGCAAGAAGTGAAAAAAAATGCAGACATTGCTGTTTAATTAATCTCTTAAGTATCCCATCAACACTTTATATTGGAGGGTTATTTGTGTCTTTTTAATTACCCCTCCATTATTTGTTCACGGACTTCACATGCTTTTCATTTTATGAAACTCATACTCTGGAGTAGTATTTTATCACTAGAACTCTTGCCAGCTGTTAGAGTATTACGAGATTTATGATAGTCGTCTGTCTACTCTTCTAAGAGGTTTTCACATCGCCATTGGTTTGATATGCACATCTTTAACTCAAGCATACGGATGTAGTGTTCTAAAGTTGCATGATCGATATCCAACATTGATGGAGTTTGGTTGAAGTTTATAGCTATCTCTACCACTTTGAGCATTGTGTTGGAGTATGAGGTTTATCCCGAGACTCTTGATGACCGGAAGACTTCATTTTATTTTGATGGTACATTAGCTATTAAACACTACATGAAAAATGTGTAATGTTTGTGTAACTACTATTGTATTATTTTTTCTGTACGCATAGTGGAGTGATTAGAAAACTCAGCTAAAGCTACCACATGTTCTCATTGTTAATTAAGAAGATAGCAATACATAAGTTAGTCAGGCCTAATAAATACAGTAACAAAAATAAGCAACCCAATCACATAGTAGCAATAATCAAGAAGATAACAATAGAAAAGAAATTAACAAGATTAATATTTAATAATCTATAATTAAACAGAAAAATTAAAAAGTCAGAATCTTTACCTGGTTCATCAGTAACTAGTAAGCACAGTGAGCAGGAGCAGGCAGCAGCCCAGCGGCGAGGTGAGCGGCTGAGAGAGCCCCTACGAGGCTGCGAGCGGAAGCCTGGAGTAGTGGAGGAGTGGAGGCGTGGCGCGGTGGCGGCGTCCGGGCGTGGCCGCGTGAGGCGTCGTCCCTCCCTGTGTCGCTTGCACTCTTGCAGACCCAGCTACCGTAGGCTTATTGTACATTTGGGCTGGCAGGGTAACTGATTACTTTGCGCCAAATCCGCCAGTAACTTTAAATTCCAAAATAGGAGTGGAATTTAAATAAAAAGTTTTTATTTTCAAAATAGGACTATTTACTGTCATGTTTTGGCAGTACCAGACTTCAAACATGGCAGTATTTTCCAAACTTGGCAGTAATTACTTCTATTTTAGAAATAAAAAACATGTACGTCCTATTTTGGAATTTTCAAACTGTTTTAGTCCTATTTCGGGAACTTTCCCTAAATACTATTGCATAATACATAGTAATAAAAAACTTATAGATAAAAATAGAGAGATTTCCCAAAATAGGATTAAATATAGTTTGAAATTCTAAAATATGATTGGTATGGTTTTTTCCCGAAATGGGGTAAGATGAAAATACATACTGTCATCTTTTCATCATGACTGTCAAATAGTTGCAGTACTATGCATTTAACATGACAATATTTATTATAATTAATAGCATTATTTTTCAATCATGACAGTAACGACTCATGTTTGGTATGATACTATGATGTAATGAACCTTGTCATGTAATGAGTATTACGTGTTGATTCGAATACGATGTTTGGTATGCCATTTTATTTTAAACTGTAATGTAATGGACATTACATGTGTACAATTCATTACATTCATAGGTGTAATAAGTTTTACATGGAAAAAGTTGTGTATTTGAAATTACCCATTATAGGGTGTATTTGAGATTATTAAAACTAGGCATCGACCGGGCCCGGGATTGGGCGGGACTGGGTTTTTGGGATGAAGGCCCGGTACCGGCCCGGGTTTGAACCGGGACAGGGCCGGGACTGGGTTGGATTTTTTTAATTAGTCTTTTCGAATTTATTCCTCCCAACCCAACCCACCTAGCAGTAGCCCAATGCCAATAGAACCCAACCCACCTAGCAGTAGCCCAATGCCAAAAACTTAAAAAATGGCCCGGACCGAGCCCGGCCAGGCCGGGTTGGTCCACTAAAATCCAGACCTGTAGCCCTCCCCATATACAGCCGGTTCGGGCCCCCGGTCCCAGTACAACCCACCGAGGCCGCGGCGGTCCTGCATAGTATCGGGTCGATCCGTCCCAGTCCATCCCCAATTACAACCTCCTTCATTTTTACTTCCGCCCCCATCCAGACATTTTCACCCAGATATCGCGATTACGCGATCCGATCCGAATTTGAATTTCTTCTTCCTCCCACCGTGCCAATCGTCATATATTGCACTTGTTTGCCTACGCTGCTGAAATTATGTGTAGAAATTGTTCTAGGTAGGACTAAGAATTCCCTAAAATGCACAAATAGGACTACTACATTTTTTTTTTGAACAAGGCGGCTTAAGTTGATAATAAAGTATTCAACAAGGGACAAAAAAGATAAAGGAAACACTTCCAGCCACCGACCCTCGAACCAGCCTGAGAATCAATCACCCTGAACAGAGCAATATAATTCGTTGATCCTATAGTGGGTCTAAATGAGCCTAACGTGGCCAGAGCAAAACCCTCATCACCTCCACCTAATGTAAGAGTCTGGCAAAAATAAAAGTACATGACAAACAAAACAACATGTATTTCGAAATAAAAACGCAAACAAACTAAAACGGAAATAGAAATAAACTTCCAAACCCTAGTCACACAATTCCTCCATGACGGCGGTTCAGGAGGGGGACGAATCAACATCTCTTCGTCTTCTTTCGCCCATAGAAAATCACCGCTACCCGCTCTTAAGTCTTCCAATCCAAGATCTTCCCCCTCGATGAGCTCTTCACAATTTTCCGGCCGCCCCTTGCCCTCCTTCTCATCCTCAAGAACCAAGCCTTTCCACGATTGCATGAAATCTGCGATGGACGCCACTGACTCCCTGGACTCGCCCCTTGTCAACATCGCAGGATGCTGAAGCAGTAGTATGCGTCGGCCGAGGAAAAATCCAGGGGAAGAGAATCATCGCCCAAATAGAAACTCCCGTTCCCAGGTCTCCGAAGACGGACCAGGCCCTCACCGCAGTAGAAAAACTTTGCTGAAATACGAACGAAGAATATAGGCTGCTTGCTACAATACGCAAAAATGAAACGTCGGACAGGACTAGCGCCGCCAGAAATAAACGCTAGGGATGAACCCTAGAATCGACTGCTTTCCTTAACACACTACTACATTTTAAACCTTCCCAAATAGGACTAAACATAGATTTCTACCAGAAATACCTCTAAGGGTATTAATTCATAATGAAATGTTTTAATTCATAATAAAATCTTAAATAATAATAAAAATCATAACAAATATAAAACAACATAAAAACTAATAATAAAATATTTATAAAATAAAAAAATCAATTTTTTTGGAATTTTTGTTTTTTTTAAATTAATAAAAAATAGTAGAAACCCATAAAAAATATTGATACCTTTCCCAATGCCTCCCAGAACCACCACCTCCGACCGGTGAAAATTCTGCCATTTTTTGTGAAAATAGCATTTTTTTTCTGAAAATGCCAAGAAAATGACATTATTACTCATCATAATGCAAAAATTCTCTTCAAATATGCTATTATTATGGCATTACTAAAAATGTTGGCAGATTTGCAACCGGTGATGGGAGCTAGTGGTGGCAGAGGTAGCGGCGTTTTTTTTTTCGTTTTTATGTTTTTTAATTTTTATTTTGTTAATTTTTTTATTTTTTATTTTATAAATTTTTAATAATTTTCACGTTTGGTATTATTTTTTATATTTTTTAATATTTTTATACTTGTATGATTTTATTATTAATTCAGACATTCCAAAAACTACAAGGGTATATTTGTCTAAACACACACACAAAGTCATAGTGAGGAGAATTAAAAAGATGTAGTCCTATTTGTACTCTCTGGACACTTTTTGGTCCTGCTTAGGTCATTTACTCAATTATGTAATGGTGATTACATTTCTATTACTCAAGTAACCAAACATAGTAATGGAATAGAGTCTCCATTCCATTACATTGCATTTTGTATCGCATTAGTGCATTACGCACTTCATTCCATTGCATTACATCATACCAAACATGGCCAAAGTTGTTTACCCTATTTAGGACAATTTCCCATAAAAATATTATTTAGTAACTATTAGTGACTATACTTGTGTTCATAAATAAAGTAGATATCTTTATAGTATTACTATTTGGATATTATTGTTGTAATTACAACATAAAAAATATTATTAGTAAAAGTGATGGAGTATATGGCCCAGGGACCCCCGGCCCACAAACTCCTGCTTCTCCTAAACAGACCTAATGAGCCCAGTAAGCACATGAATCCCAGATACAGCGGCCCGAGCTTAAAGAAACTCAAAAAACGCATAAGGATGCCTTCAGCGTCACGGCCGAGGGCACCAAAACTCCGGGGACCAGTCACTCTTGGACCAACTTAGATACTGGGAAATTCTGGCTAAAATAGTAGCCTTCGGCTACGTGATGCCCTCGGCTACACGGTGCCTTTGGCTACATGATGCCTTCGGTCACGGAAGGCTCAGCGAAGCTTCCTCTGAAGACAGTCAACCACCGCATTCAATGCGGCGTCACGTCCAACCACCGCATTTAATGCGGTGAACATGCGAATGCCGGTGCCACCCCGATTGAAATGACCCTCAGTCGTCGGATGGTTGACACTTGTACGCGTATAGCATTTATGGCTGCTATAAATAGCAGCCCCTTTCCCTTTGTAAAAAGATCGAGCTCATTTATTACAGCTGACTCTCTCTCTTACTTGCTTGCTCCGACTTCTCTCTAGATATTTCTTATAATATCCCTCGGATAAGCTACCCTCTGGGTACACTATCCATCAAATAGTTTTATGTAATAGTTTTTTTTTTTTTAAATTTGAATTTGATTTATGATGATATAAAACTAGTATTGATGTTGATGATTGCATATAAGTATTTCTATGAAAATAGTGAATTACTGGTTTTCGTTCTTAAATTTGTATAGCCTTAATTCTTGCTACAAAAAAAGAATGAAGTACAAGATTTTCGTTTTCTTAAATTTCTAAATTCTAATGGCAGGTGAGGCACTGCCCATAATAACCAAGAAAGCTTCTTAACCCTGGAGTTGTGTAAGATTTAATGTTCCTTTAATTTTGTTCTTTTGTTTATTTTAGAATGTAACTGTTGAAAAAATGCCAATGCTGAGACGAATAGACCGTCAATTCTGCATTTTGGGATATTAAATGTTATAACTTTGTTTGTTATAGCCTTATTGTCATAATGCTTTCTGTGGTTTTATTGTTCTGATGCTTTCAGTTGATGAGTTGTTCCACGATAAGTTTGCCAGAGAGTTGATTCCTTCGAAGAATGAAGAATTAGAGAAAAATATCAGCTTCACACAATCCAGAACAAGCTGTAGAAGAAACCTAAAGAAGAAGACAAAGTCATTTCTGCTTCAAGGGACAAAAGGAGGAAGAATAGGAATGTGTCACTGCCAGATGGAAGATCAGAGAGGAACTCTAAGGCTGGAAAGGGTAGAAAATATTGTGTTGATTATGCCATTGTGATTGACGAGTGACAAAATGGTATGCTTCATTCGCCAAAACAAGAGAAGAAGCGAGCTTTGAAAATTGATTCTCCATAATTGCTTATGTGAAACCGTACCTTTATAGTTTCTATAATAATGCTTTGACATGTTCAATTTTATTGCAACTTTATATATACATATGTCAAGAGATTTTGGGGTGTTGTTATTATCAACAGACTCGTAGTGAAGGACAAAATGAAATTATAGCTATCTGAAACTGGTAAGTGTATCTTTGCTCTAAGTGTGTAAGATTTATGCCATTGTGTGGAGTGTCATGGTTTTGAAACCCTTTTTGAAGTGGTGAAAAATGCATTCAGCAAATGAATTGTGGTTTTAGCCTAATCCTTAGATGGTTGAGGTGTTGGCCATGCTTTTAAGCCTCGTAACGTTATGTAAGCATCATATTTGTATCTCTAGGACCATCAAAGGTCCTAGAATTTATTTTCCAAAACCAACAATCATCATCATCAT